TCCATCCAGGGGTGGTATCTTTAACTGGTGAAGATGCACAAGGTAATGTATCAATTTCACTTGAAGCTTACTTGTAGTTTCAGGCTTGGTCAAGCGCGATACAAACCATGTAGTAGGAGTCCCCCAAGTCGCCGAGCTAGGGGATTTTGCTGAAGAGAGGTAACAGACAAGGTAAGCAATTAGAGCTCCGGCTGATTGTTCACCTTCTCCCCATCTTGCAGCAGCATGAAGGGATAAAGAGAAGAAAAAATGAGAAGAGATGATATGGGATATTTTTTGCTTTTGAAGAAGTAACTTTCCACAGGCTTATTCTTGAACTGAGCTGGAGGGTTTTCTGGTTTCCTCCAAAGTATAAGGCCGACTGAAGAATTTGAGGGTCAAAACAAGTCCATCAAATCTAGAGTACGTTCGACCCTGCTGATATGGGATACTTTTGCTTTTGACAGAGTAATGGATGGATCGGCACGTGGTGCTGTTACGCTTGTCTCCACATGCTTCCTTGTATCCTTCGCACTTGCCCTATCTGTTCCTCAAGCAGATGCGGTATCTTCCCTGGCAACATAAGATGTTGAAGATGAGTACTCGAGAGCAATGCCAGGTAAGTAATCAGGTAAGGGGTTCCAGGCTGTCAGTTCCTGGCTGGGAGCTTGATTTCAAGTGCTGACTGATTGCTCTCTTTCTCCTTGTCTTGCAGGTAAAAACAAGGCCAAAGGAAAAGACAGGGAAAAAGCATGATATGGGATACTCTTGCTTTTAACCCTGATGATATGAGATATTCTTGCTCTAGTATAGCTTGTTTGCAGAGGTATTATCGGGGGGAAAGAAATATATTACAACAAATATCTCCCACCATGATTGCTTTCTCAAAAATCGAAGTATTTTTATTACATAATTAGGTAAATCGATTTTCAATTATAATATAACTTGAAGCATTGGCAAATTAAATAGTAAATGAGGAGAACGGCATCATGAAGCGATGCTTTGGTATCAAGTACAAAGGATTGCATGCATATACTGCATTATATTTGCAACATATTGGATGAGGAAATGTTAAAAGGAGAGTACTGGGAGGGTATACAGCCACTAATGTAAAGCAAGTAATATATTTGTTTGAATGTACCCAAAGAGTGGGAACAATAAGCTTTGATGTATATTTTACGTAATTGTAGTTGTTGATCAATTCAATTATTATCTTGGATTGAGCTTTACTATGTGCGATGGTTTGGCTGTCACCATGTGTTGTATCTTATCTCTTTTATCTGCTCAAAGCTTTTCTACTCGTAAAAATTTGAAGAGAAAAAAATGAAAGAGAGTTAAGAAGTAGCGATTGCTATCTGAATGATTATTGATTTTTGTTAAGACCTATCGAATCACTAAACTTTCAGAATGAAGACGTTAAGTGATTGCATTATGTTCCTTTGATTTTAGAGTTTTCTACAAGAAATTGTTTAGATTTCTTTTTCCTATTCTACTAGCAAAAGTATATTATTATTTTTTTCCCTACTAGAAAAGTGTTTCAATTGTTTCTCCTAAGTTTTCTGCCATATATGGTGCCTTAAGAGTATAAGCCGATGTATATATCTGTGTGCCTTTTGAAGATAAATTTTGACTCTGTGATTGGATCATCCATTCGTTTTTATTTAATTTTTTGTTTCCTCTACTCTGTATATGAGAAACTAGTTAAAACAATAATTGTACCTTTGATTTCTCTTGGAATGCAACAATGACAACTTGATAATTAAAAGTAGGGTAGACCTACTTGTCTTTGTTGTTTTTATTAAATTTGTCTATTTCCAATTATGTATAAATCTGAGCTATTGCACATTTCATAAGTTTTCTTAGCTATTTCAATTGAGGAAGTTCCAGGGTGTGTGTGCATGGTCATTGATTTTGCAAATTGGGCTGTATACCCTGCAAATATATTACTTGCTTTACATTAGTGGCTGTATACCCTCCCAGTACTCTCCTTTTAACATTTCCTCATCCAATATGTTGCAAATATAATGCAGTATATGCATGCAATCCTTTGTACTTGATACCAAAGCATCGCTTCATGATGCCGTTCTCCTCATTTACTATTTAATTTGCCAATGCTTCAAGTTATATTATAATTGAAAATCGATTTACCTAATTATGTAATAAAAATATGTCGTTCATTTGTATGTTTTGTTATCTCAAATATCAAGGATATATAAGAACCAGAAAGCTATAATTGAGGAGAGATGCCAGGATCCAACATGCCGAATGTATTTAAATCATACCAGCAGTAACAGAACCACCGGGCGAATTGATAAACAATTTAATGTCCTTTTTCGGGTCCTCGGCATCTAGAAATAGAAGTTGGCTTATGATCAAATCCGCTGTCATGTCATCTACCTGCCCACCGGCAGAAAATGAAGAGAAAAATAAATAAAGCAACCGTTCCTAATCATACGTTAAGTCTTCTAGTAATTAGGAAACACAAACAAACACACAGTAATCCCTTCAAATGACTAACTTCTAACTTTCAAGTTTAGTCCTTTTGTAAATAAGAAACACAAACACACACACACAGAGTAATCCCACCAAATTTTGAACTACTTAACTTTCAACAAACAGTAAAGAGTCCAAATTTCACAAGTAGCAGCAAAACCCATGTCGACAATATTCGATGCTGAAGCAAGAAAACCCAAATTAAGAGAGAAAGAGAACCTGAGAACCCAGAAAGATGATTCTTTGACGGAGAAGCATGTTGGTGGTATCGAGCTCTTCGAATCTGGGCAGCCTTGGAGCTGAAGTAGTAGCTGAGGGAAAATCCCAATTGCTCGACAAGGTCAGTCGTGGGGGAGACGAGCTTTTCATGGCCTTAATCACACAGACGCCATTGCTTCTCCTATGGCAATTGATAATACCATTGCTGTTGAGGGCAGTGCCCTTCACAATTGGCGAAATGGGCACTTGGGTTTGTGAAGAACACAGCGGCCTTGAAGCTGTGGCTGCGTACGTCATCATCTATCTCCTCTCTCACTCTCAGTGAGTGTGTTTTCTCTATCCTTTGTCTCTGAGTCTCTGACCCTCTTTTTCCTTTCTCTCTCTTTCTTTTTCTGGGAAAATTGGGACGGAAGGAAAATTGAAAGAGAAATTTTATTTTAACTATGTAACATCTCTCTACATTGACCTTAAATTATAAACGTAAAATTACTTTATTATCTTATTGCATAATTATTATAAAATACAAAATGAAATTAATAATAAAAATAAGATTATAAACAAACACTCAATACAATAATCAAATATAATCATCAACATCACGTATCATTCTTCTACATTCTATTATAACAAAAATCATAAAACACTCTCATAGTGAAAAATAAGTCATTTTGTATGGATGGATAGTAATTTTGAACCATCGACAATCTATACTTAAGCCAACTACCTCTTCACCCATACGCGACTTAAATAGAAACCCATGGAGTGGATGGGAAAGGGAAGGAGTTTTCTCTTCCTTTTCTATACAGAGGAAGAGCGGAGGGGTGTGACGTGCATGCAAACCCATCATATTCAACCCCTTAAAAAGGTGGATAGATTTGAGGGAAGAAACAAATAAAAATCTTAATATAGTTTAATGCAAGCTCAAATTGTAAACATGGGAACATAAACTTGTTGCAACACATATGATGCACGTGAGCCAAATTTCAAAAACATCTTTAACAACTTAAGTCTTTAAATTCTACCCAGGATATGTCAAATAAGACACATGCATTGTGCTGCAATTATATTAGAAACTGGCTCTTGTAGTGAAACGAATTATTAAGCAGCAATTCAAGGACTCCCTTCAACAAATCTAATGAGAAAATTGACCAATACTATCAAGTCTCGACAAATACGAACTAAGTTGAGAGAACAATGTTGTAGAGGATGATGAAGACTCCATCAAAAGCAACTATTGGAAGGAGAGAACGTCAGAGAAGAGATTGCTTTGATTTTTTTTAACTTTAACGAAAAGCTCTCGGTACTGTTCACTTTAATGAAAAACCACATTTTTATACTAAAAAATCAATCTTTGTACTATTCACTTTACCTTTTATTTTGTCCTTATTGTTAAAACTCAAAGTTTTCAAATTCTCTTCATTAGTTTTCCTTTGATTTTTTGGTTTTTTATTTTTCATATGGGTGTAAAAGATAAATTTACATATTGAATTGGGTTTGTGAGGGTAGTTTAGGTAGTAACTTTGGGTTTAAAAAGATATTGATAGTTTAATTAAAAATAATATAAGTGTAAAAAGTAAGTTAGATGTAAAGAAAAGTTAAATGAATTTAATTTCCCAAATTGAAATAGCTTTTCGACAAAGAGGAGGACAACAGCCAAATTGGCCTTCAGAAAGGGCTGATGCCCAAATGGGCCTGGGCCCGTTCTTGCATTTTCTTGTTTCTTGCTGGAGACAACATCTAGCAACATGTTAAGGGCCGGGTTCGTCTTATCTCATATGTTTAACATATTCGTTCATCAGTTATTTTACAATCAGAAATTATTTCAATTTTTTTATTTAAAATTAAACAGAAACAGTACTTAACGAAAGCTAATCGCATGATATAATGAATATGTAATATGAATTGATCTTTAGGATCCTCACAAAAAAGAGGATCCTCCGTGGGCCTTTGTTGTTATGTTGTAGTTGTGTTTGGTTGGATTAATATCGTTCTCCTTTGTCAAAAAAAAAAAGAAAAAAAAAAAGAGGATCCTCCGTCCTCTCACAAAAGTATATAGAGAGAGATTAGGATCCACTACTAAGGTAAGGGTGATGGTCCTCTTGATCAAGCTCATCGGATCGTTCAAATTTTATTCAACTGTTACAGTTATTATAACTTTTAGAAAAACTTTATGTTTGTAATCGTTGATAAAATTTAAACAATCATATGAGTTAGGTCAGGAAAATCATCATCCTTAGCCAAGAAGAGGATCTCAATCCCATTTCGAAAGCTTACATAGTAAGCAAAGATGGTGCAGAATCGACACGTGTTTGACACGTATCATAAAAACCTGATGACCGAAAGAAAAATATCCGAATTTGCAGAGAAACCGTCGAAAAAATCCCCAAACCCAAAAAGGCCAGATGAAATCGGAATCTTACCTCTCTCTATTAATTGCTCCCTTCTTCCTCCTCCTCCTCCTCCTCGCTTTCCCTTCCACTACCGCACAAAAATCAACCCGAATTGGCTGCGGCCACAGTTCCCAACACCGGAAAATGGACACAGTCGGCGGAATCCAAGAATCCCGCGGCGTCCAGAACAGCGCCGAAGTTGAAGACCTCGCTCGCTTCGCCGTCCAAGAGCACAATAACAAGGAGGTACATAGTTTACCCTCCTGACCTTTTCCTTTACCTAATTATGCTACAATTTCGATTAATTTATTGATTGATTAATTAAATTATTATGGTTCAGAATGCCCTGCTCGAATTTGTGAGGGTTGTGAAGGCGAAAGAGCAGGTGGTTGCCGGAACTCTGCACCATCTGACGATCGAGGCGATCGAGGCCGGCAAGAAGAAGCTGTACGAAGCGAAGGTGTGGGTGAAGCCTTGGATGGGCTTCAAAGAAGAGCAGGAGTTCAAGCAGGCTGATGAGGAGGAGACACCATCCGTTACCTCTTCCGATCTTGGTGCCAAGCAAGGTGGGCATCCTCCTGGGTGGCAATCTGTGCCGCCGCATGACCCGCAGGTGCAGGATGCGGCTAACCACGCTGTTAAGTCCCTCCAGCAGAAGTCTAATTCCTTGTTGCCTTATGAGCTTCTAGAAGTTGTTCACGCCAAGGCTGAGGTTTGTGCCTTTTCATTTCCTTCTTTTGATTTTCCACTCTGTAGTATTGGGGGTTAGTATTTGTTTGTGTTGAATTGGGTATTCAAATCCAACTAAATGAATTTGAGAATTGGGTATTGTGTATAGTTATTTGTTGTGTCTGAAAGGGATTTCGAAGAATTGGGTATTAGGGGGTTGGTTTGTGCTGAATCAGAGTATGAAAGTCGATTTTTTTGCATTTTGGAGAATTGAGGATTTGGGGGGGGGGGGGGGGTAGTATTTGGTTTTGTTGGAATGGGTGTTCAAGTTCATTTAAATGTGGAGAGGTTTTTCAGTGTGCTCGGAAAATGGGACGGCATGCCAGATGTTATTATACAAGTGGATGGATATTTTTTTCAAGTGTCCCTCCGCTTGGCCTATGTGCTCGTGTTTCAGGCACACTTTAAAAAATCTCTTTCAAATGCGAGTAGTTGTGTAATGGGACCAGGATTTGGTTGTGGAGAATTGAGTAAGGAAATTCTATTTAAATGTATTTTAGAGAATTGGAATAGGAAATTTGGATTTAACCTTTAGGTAATTCAGAAGATTAAAACAAAATAAACACATTGTTTTCTTGTCAATTTTGCTTTCAACTTCAAATTGTTTTGTATAATGCGGTATACAAGTCGATTTGTTCATTCTTCTCTGTTTTGAGGTCTGTTTGACATCATCGTTGGGATCGACGGGATTAATGTATTGATTTGTGTATATGATTAAACTGTGGGCAGCAGGTGATAGAAGAGCATGCAAAGTTTAACATGCTTCTGAAGGTGAAAAGGGGAAGCAAAGAAGAGAAGTTTAAAGCTGAAGTGCATAAGAATATGGAAGGCGCCTTCAGTCTGAATCATATGGAGGCAGACCACTCCTAAACAAGTAAATAGTTTGTGGTATTGAAATCTTCCGGTACTAACCCGAGTGTGTATGCTGCTTTGCTTGCTTTCAGTACATCTTGTATGTCTTGAATCTTGATACCGAAGACTAAGGCGTAGTTGTGTGTCTAAATAATGTGTGTGTCTATAAATGCTAATACTTTTTATGTTCTTAAGCTTTGTTCCAACGTTGCCTTCACTCCAACTCTACACTGGACATGTGCTGGGATTCTTAACGTCTTTAAGATATCAATTGACTTATATGTAGACTATTTTTTATGCTCCGATACATGTTCGTCTCCGGTATATATGAAAACAACCCTCTTTGAACTTTTTTGTCCCCGAAATGATGCTTCATCCCGCCCCCCTGTTATCGGTCAATTTACAGTTTCCGATTGCTAAAATGATCAATTTTCATCTTGTTATTTTTGGCTTTTCTCGTACGCTCCGGAGTTGTAAGTGTCGTTATGTTCAAAGTTTTATCTGTGTGATGTTAAAAGACATTGTAAATTCAGTTTTTTTAACACTTCGAAATATTATTCATTTTAACTACCACAACATCATGATTTACAACGGATTTTCGAGAGATTAGTATGTAAAAATACTGGTATCCTCAAATCTGACGAGTTCAAACTCGTCCCTCGATAACTGAAATCCATCGCTAATCGTCGGAAGATTGAGACGACGATCGCTGAGATATTATGATGCTTTTTAAAAAATGGCGATGAGCCATCAAGTAAGGTTCGGTCCTAGTTGATCGAGCCTGGTCTCAGTGCCAAGGAGAGGCTCAAGTGGTGAGAACAAGTGTGCCACTGTTGTAGGTGATGAGTAGATTTTATATTATATATTTAACCTTAATCTTAGTATATTTTAGTTATTATTTTGAAAGAATTTTGATACTTTAAATTGTATTTTGAATATAAGATTTTTGACTTCCTATAGAGTAAAACATGGTCAAATGGACGAATTTTGAAGTAATTTCAGTTGGAGGACGTTCATGAGTTACTTGGCTCGATCGTGTCAAAATATCAAAATTTTCCACCAAGAGGTTATTTTCTGGCAATAAAATAAATGAGCAATGCGCGGTGTTGAAATAGTGACGTTTTGAGCTTGAATTGCGTTTTTGTGAGTCCAAGATGACCTCGGATGGGTTTGTGGCCTTCTAGAGATTGTTTAGAACGTCCTAATCTTCAAAACAAGCTATCATGGGCCGGATTTGGAGGATATTTGAGGCTAAAACGTGGCTAGACAAGTACTTAGCAGATTCCCCTAACTTAATTAAAACTTTATTTTTTAAGATATTTTACTATTATTTTTAGTTTCCTAGTTGGAATAAAGGACCTGGTTTTTTAGGATTGTGCAATGCTTTTTAGATGGGATTTAAAAGGTTTCAACCGATCCTATTTTGTTTTACGTTTTCTTTTATGCAACTTTGGAAGAATTGCTAGGGTTTTCAAAGGTTTTTAGCTTTTCTACTTTAAGGTGTTTTCGTTCTTTTTCTTCATAATAATATTTTCTATGATTTTAATTATGAATATGCATAACTAATTTATTTTGCTAGGGCGAAGCCTTGAGCCTTAGCATGAATATGTAATTTTTATTTAATTGCTTATGATTGATTGCATGGATACTTTGAATTATTGATCACTGTTTTAAACTATCTAATTCTCTTAATACCTGATCAGCATTAAGATCTTTAGAAAAGTAATTTAATTCAATTTTGGTCGGAAGGTTTCCTGAAATTGACGTTGGCTTCTTGTGATTAATAATTGTAATATCACTTAAGATGAACATCACGTCTTAAGGGTTGTATGATTTTTCAAAGGGTTTTCATAAAGCATAATGAGTCTCTCGTATTCATATTTGATCCGAACATCTGGACGGATTGCATGTTAGATATACGTTCTATGTTGGAGGTTCAAAGTAAAATATATATTAGGAAAACCTAACCTTCAAAGTAGCATGTGTAGATCATAAGTAATTGATAAAAATTCATAGGTTTGTTAGGTGATGGTGGACCCTAGTGCTTTTATAAATTGGTATTTAAAACTCTTTTCTTTTATCGTATTAGTTTTGGGGAAATTTATTATTAGTAGTTAATTAAAATTCGTTTTTAATATTACCCAAAGTCAAAATCTTTTTTCTCAATTTTTAATTATAAGTAGTTAATTAGGAATTGTTTTTACATAAATTATTAAAATAGTCATTGAGGAGAACGACCTTGCATGAATATCTGTACTACAATAATCTTGTATTCTTGCAAGTGTTTTGTGTGATTTTAACCTTCTTTTCGTAGACGGTAAAAATCCCATCAAGAAATTGATGTCGTAGCTGGGGATTATTTTAGATAATTTTTGTTTAGACCTTCCCTAATTAATTATTTTTTGCACAAATAAAAAAAATAAAAAACAATATTTTAATTCAGATTATTTTGCTATTTTCGTTTGATTGTAGATTCTACAAACTTTATGGTCCAGATCGGATCAAAATTTGCCCAGATTGCTCAGTTTTATCCAGAACCAGAACACACACTGCGACAACAACAAAGAGAAACTAATTTGGCATGGGACTGTTCAATGCACGACACTTTTTTGCATAATTTATTTGCTGATTTTGTGGACAGAGAGGTTACAATGGCGTTAGCATTACCTTAAGGAGGCAAACCACTCAAATATTCGTTGGCTGCCCGTGTAAACGATGTTCCTAATTGTATTGTCTATCTTGCCCAGGAAGAAGGAGAAGCATTCAAGATCAAGCACCACAAGCTTGAAATTTTACCAACATTTTGTGGGTTGCCTAATGAAGACGCAAACATTCATATTGCAAAATTTATTGTGGGTTGCAAAAATATTTTGATCAGGAGTTTTTCTGCCAAGGTTATTAAGTTACGTCTTTTTCCTTTTACTTTGAAGGATAAGACGAAAACTTGGTTATTTACTCTACCGACTAGTAGCATTACCACTTGGCAACAATTACATACAAAATTACTAAACAAGTATTATCCAGCATCTAAGAAATTGAATTACAAGCGGGAGATTATGACATTCTCTCAAAAGCTGAACGAAGAGTTTCATGAAGCATGGGTGAGATATAAAGAGATGTACATGAATTGTCCACATGCTAATATTGATTCAAATACACAAATGAATATTTTCTTTGATGTGCTTAATCCTATATCTAAGAGCCATGTTAATGCCTCAACTGGAGGATTGTTGTCAAATAAATATGCAAGAGAGGCGTTTGAATGATTTGATATGATGGCTACATAATGTCAACATTGGGCAGCAAAACATTCATAGAAAAGGGGCATTTTTTAGTTATCAGCAGGTTTTCCTAACATGTCTACACAAATGAAAAAAATGGAAAAGAAAATTAATGCAAAATTTGACATTCTTTTACAACAAATTGCAAATTCTACACAGTAGCAACCACCGTTTACATTATTTGCAGCATGGCTACGCACGACATAATGTGATGCCCGCATAAAGAATCCTACACGGAGCTTGTTGAGCAACATGTTAATATGATGAACAGCTATCAAAGGCCTAGAAATGATGCATATGCAACTCATTACAATCCAAGATGGAGGGATCATCCTAATTTCAAATTGGGGGACAATCAGAATCATGCAAAACCATTGCAGTAAACACAAAAACCTTTTGTACCATCCAAACCATCTTTGGATGATCAACTTGCTAAATTGGCAGCAACAACTCAATCATATATAGGTGGCAGCAATCAAAAATTTCAAAATGTGGAAGCATCAATTAAAAGTTTGGAGCAATCATTTGGACAGTTAGCTACACATATTTCAAACAGAGAAAAAGGCAAATTTCCTTGTCAAACAGTGCCTAATCCAAGAGGACGTGAAGACTGCAATGTTGTTCGGACTTTACGGTGTGGAAAAAGTTATGACAATCGTGAAAATTATACTAAAAAAGATTAGCTTGCAGTGAAAATTTCTGCAGAAAATACAGAAATAGCAGCATAACTTGCAAATTATACAATAAAACAGAATCTGGCAGATGCTGAAACTGTCCCAAAACAGGTTTCTGAGCATGTTTATGACCCTCCATTACCGTATCTTGAATGTTTAATTCATAAGGCAAGAGATCAACAGTTTAAGGATTTTATGCAGACATTATCTAAGGTTCAAATCAACATTTCATTGCTGGATGTAATCAAGAAAATTCCATCTTATGCTAAATTTTTGAAAGAGGTTTGCAACAGCAAAAAGAAACTTGCAGATTTGGACAATGTTATTTTGATAGAACAATGCAGCGTAGTTTTGTTACATAAACTGCCACCTAAGAAAAAATATTCAGGGAGTTTTAACATTTCATGTACTATTGGAAATTCTGATTTTAAAAATGCTTTAATTGATTTAGGTGCCAATATTAATTTAATGTCATTTTCTGTTTTCCAATAATTAGGACAAGGAGATTTAAAGCCTACATCAAGTATTCTTTAGCTAGTTGACTGTTCAATGACTTATCCTAAGGGCATTATTGAAAATATCAATATTAAAGTTGATAATCTTTATTTACCGGCAGATTTTGTGGTTTTAGACATGGATGAAGACCTAAAAAACGCCCATAATTTTGGGAAGATCGTTCATGGCAACATCTACGACAATAATTGATGTGGAAGCTGGAACACTAACTTTAGGAGTTCAAGATCAATCTGTTGTATTTAATTTTTTTGAGGCATCCAAACGTCATGCTAAACAACAATAGTGTATGTGCATTGATGTGTTAGACAGTGTGGTTCAAGGCAATTTTCAGGCTAATTCAATTTCAGATCAGTTGTTGCATGTTTTACAAGGGAAAATTGGGTCAGATTCTGAAGATAAAGGGTTCTTGAGTACATTTATGTATTGGACAGTCTGCCAACACAGTTGCCCAGGTGGAGAACTGTTTATGCAAGCTTATGGGAGCCTAAACAACCCCTTAAACAGTCTAGACAGTAGCTACCAAAATTGGAGCTGAAGCCTTTGCTAGAACATTTAAAATATGCACATTTAGGGACTCTAGAAACATAGCCAGTTATTGTTGCAGCAGATTTAACTTCAACTGACACGCCCCGATCCCGATATTCCCCGAATACCAGGATATGCACGTGCTGGCCGACACCCGAGGGTGACGAAAACCAATTATTGAGTGCAATTGCTGAAAATAAGGAATAATTAAGACTTATAACTATAAAAGAATAATGAATATGTATTTAAGGAACGTGTTCAGAGCACACATCTAATCTAGAACATTAAAAGAATTAATATAAAAAAATTGAATGAACACAGAAGTGGGTCCTACACCGAGAGGACTCGAAGATACCGATGCGGAAGTGCCTGGATGCCGGAATTGTATGCCTCGATTCTAAGTCCTGAAGGGGGCGCAAAACAAATATGAGTGGACCAAGTTGATATATATATAATAAACAGTTATCAACGTACTAACCCCCAGGTTTTATGAAAACACATATATAATGATAAACATAGGTTTTCCGAAACCTAGCATGATGTGCAGTGTCTCAAATCATAACTTGTATATATAATAATCACTAGTGAATTGTCCGATAACCCCCAGGCCCCATGCCGGCTCCCCGTCTCTGAGCAGACAGTCAGAGGAAAATACACTTCAGGCCCCATGCCGGCTCCCCGTCCCTGTGCTAAATAGCCAGAGGAAACATACTCCAGGCCCTATGCCAACACCAAACCGTCGCCCGGAACGGACCAGAATCTATCCCTACGTCCCGTAGCGGAAAGGACCACTAGGTAGGTACAAAACCATTGAACATATATATATTGAAAAACAACTTCATAGTATAAAGTCATTCATCATCTATACTATAAAGAGGTGTTTGAAACATGTTCTAAATATTATATCGTCATCCATCAGATATTCTATAAGAACACGGGTTATAGGAAAAATAGTAATAATTCAAAGTAGCCTTAGTAAGCATGTTATCTCACAAAACGTTTCATAAAACGTAATCATCAAATCATGCTTTTCATATATGCATTTCTACTATAAAACATGCATTTTAGAAGGGGTCCACTCACAGTACTTAGCCGCCGAAGAGCCACGCAAACTATCAAAGAAGGAATGCCACATATAATTGCCCCTAATCACATAAAGAGTCCAATTAATAAAACTCTATTATAGCAATTGAATTTGGGAAAATGGACATTGGAAACGGATTCAAAACGTCGAATTACCCTACGAAGGGTTTGAATTAAATAAAATAGGGAATTTGGAATTGGATGGATTTAGGGTTTTAAAGGATTTGGGTTATAAAGGGTTTAGGGTGAAAATGGGTGGTTTGGGCCTAAGCCAAACACACACACGCACCACACAAACACACACATTCACGGCATGCACATGCATGCAAGCATGCATATACACACACGTACGCATGCACTTAAACACACACACACACAAACCACAAAGGCCTTAAGGCCTCACACAAGGACCGGGCTTTAAGCCCTTTCACTCAAAACCGGCCCAAGGCCCTTTGGGCTGCTGAAAATAAATAATTAAATAGAATAAAAACGGGCTGGGCTAGGCAGGGAAGGCCCAAAGCCTTGGGTTTTGGTGGGTCGCCGGATCCAATGGGAGAGAAGGCCGGAAAACCATCCCACTTTAAACGGCCATAACTTTGTCACTACTCAACGAAATCAAGCGAGACAAAAATGAAAGTTGTATCCCTGGAAGAGACGAAGAGAATGATACCTCACACGACGTCTAACTCGCCGTGGTTTGGCCGGAAATTGCCTCGAAAGCCTCGGAGGTCGCCGGAAACTGGGTAAGATTTCAAATGAGTATAACGTCTTCAATACGCAATGAAATTGAGTGAAACAAAAAGGAAAGTTATAGTACTCGACGAGACGAAGAGATTGATACCTTGCACGCCGGCCAACTCGCCGTGGTTTGGCCGGAAATTCTCTCGAAAGTCGTCGGAGATGGGTGTGCCTACACCCGGCTTCGATTTCGTCCTATAACCTCCAAAAATCACACAATAAACTCAATTAAAATTCAACCCACAAGATTCTTGGACGAAATAAGGGAGATTTGAGGCTTACCTCACCGGGAAAATAGGAACTCGCCGGAGTTCCTTTCCGGGTTTCCTGGGGTTGCAGCACGGGACAGAGGGGGAGAAGGACGAGATGGCGACGATGTGGGGTCTTCCTCGCGCAGGGGAGATGGTTGCGTGCGTGCGTTCGCGGTTGAGAAGAGAGATAAGGGAGCTGAGAGAGGTCCGAGAGAAGGGAGAGAGACATGACAGACAGAAAAAGAAGAAGAAGAAGGAAGAAAAGAAAACAGAAAAGAAGAAGAAGAAAGAAGGGAGTTCACGGGGGAGGGACAGAGAGAGAAGGAAGAGTGACGGGAATGGGGGACACAAAAATAGAAGGTGGGCCCTTGGGCACACCAATTAAGAATTAAAAACCATTTTTAAATAAAATGGGGGTGAGGTGTTACATCGACAGAAGAAGATAAATTGTTTCGTGTTTTGAGAAAATATCAAGATGCATTGGGATAGACAATAGCCGACATCAAGGGTATTAGCCCAGCACTTTGCATGCACAGAATTTTAATGGAAGAAGACGTGAAGCCAACAATAGATGCTCAACACCGCCTTAATCAAATTATGAAAGTTATCAAAACATAAGTTATGAAATTACTGGATGCTGGTATGATTTATCATATTTCAGATAGTTAATGGGTGAGTTCTACGCATGTTATGCTTAAACGTTCCAGAATTACAGTGATTAAAAATGACAATAATGAGCTTGTTCCTACACGTTTAACTATAGGCTGGCGTATGTGTGTAGATTACAGGAAACCAAATGCAGCTACAAGAAAAGATCACTTCCCATTACCGTTTACTGACCAAATTTTAGAAAGATTGGCTGGTAAGGGCTTTCTAGTGTTTCTTAGATGGTTATTCTGGGCACAATCTGATTCCAATTGCACCAGAGGACCAAGAGAAGACAACTTTTACATGCCCATTCGAGACGTTTGCTTATCGGAGGACGCCATTTGGGTTATGCAATGCACCAGCTATTTTTCAACATTGTATAATGAGTATTTTTTCTGGCTTGGTCGAAAATATTGTCGAAGTTTTTATGGATGATTTTTCTGTGTTTGGGGATTAAATTGATCAGTGCTTACATAATTTATCATTAGTTCTTGAGAGATGTCAAGAGACAAATTTAGTGCTAAATTAGGAAAAATGTCATTTTATGACAGGGCATTATTTTAGGTCATTCGATTTCTAACAAAGGCATTAAGGTTGATAAAACCAAGATTGATGTTATTGCAAATCTGCCACCCCATACATCAGTAAAAGGTGTCAGATCATTCTTGGGACATGCAGGATTTTACCGCTGGTTCATTAAGGATTTCTCTAAAATTAGCCGACCTCTGTGCAATTTATTGGCTAAAGATGCATCGTTTTATTTCGATGAGGCTTGTTTAGAAGCATTTAACAAGTTGAAATCACTCCTAACTTAGGCACCCATCATTGTTGCACCAGATTGGGGTTTACCATTTGAATTAATGTGTGATGCTTCAGATTATGCCATTATGGCAGTTTTAAGGCAACGTAAAGACAAGCTTCCCCATGTCATTTATTATGCAAGTTGTACTCTTAATGATGCATAGCTCAACTATGCAACCATATAGAATGAATTATTGGTAGTTGTGTTTACGTTAGAGAAGTTTCGGTCTTATTTGGTTGGGGCTAAGGTAATTGTTTATAATGATCATGATGCTCTTAAATATTTGTTGTTTAAGAAGGATGCAAAGCCTAGGTTGATTCGTTGGGTTCTTTGACTTCAAGAATTTGACTTAGAAATTAAAGACAAAAAGGGTAGTGAAAATGTGGTGACTGACCATTTATCCAGATTAATTATTCCGACAGCTACAGAAGAAGAATCTTTCCATTGAGTGAAAGTTTTGCAGATGAAAAACTATTTGCTGTCCAAATTAATACACATTGGTTTGCTGATATTGTTAATTATTTGGCTAAGGGTGAGGAGCATCTAGATTTTTCGTTTTAGCAGAAAAAGAGGTTTTTATCTGATATAAAGCATTATTTATGGGATGTACTGTACTTATACAAGTACTGCCTCGACCAGATTATTTGCATGTGCATTCCTGAGGCTGAATAGGCAAGTGTTTTAAAGTTTGCTCATCATTTTGCATGTGGGGACATTTACATTTTGGGCAGAAAATGACAGTGGAGAAAATTTTGTAGAGTGGTTTATTTTGGCCTACACTTTTTAAAGATGCAAATAATTAGTGCAAGGCTTGTGACAAGTGTCAAATGGTTGGCAACCAATCCAAAAGGAAAGAGATGCCCCAACAAAGTATTTTAATTGTTGAATTATTTGACGTTTGAGGTATTGATTTCATGAGACCGTTTCCATCTTCTAATGGGAACCAATATATTTTAGTTGAAGTGGAATATGTTTCTAAGTGGGTCGAGGCCATTGCAACACTAACTAATCAAGAATTAGTGGTCCTAAAGTTCCTTCAGGGGGTTATATTTCTGTGTTTTGGAATTTTGCACGTTATTCTAAATGATGGGGGGAATCATTTTGTTAATAAACCATTTGCTAATTTACTGGCAAAGTATGAGATTAATCATCACGTGGCTACACCTTATCATCCACATACATCTGGTCAAGTTGAAGTTTCAAACAGAGAATTAAAGCGCATTTTGGATAAAACAATTGGTTTTACACGTAAGGATTGGAGTTTAAAATTAAATGGTGCTTTGTGGGCTTACAAGACTCTTATTGGGATGTCTCCATTTTGACTCATTTATGGGAAACATGTCATCTACCTATGGAGCTTGAACATAAGGCTTACTGGGCAATTAAAGAGTTAAATTTTTCGTATGATTCAGTTGGGAAAAACGCAAATTGTAGCTTAATGAGCTAGAGGAAATTCATTAGTCTGCCTATGAAAGTTCTCGCATCTACAAGGAATGAACTATGGCGTTTCATGATAGTCAAATTTTAAGGAAGGAATTTCAGCTAGGGCAAAAAGTTTTGTTATTTAGTTCAAGGCCAAAGTTGTTCCCAAAGAAGTTAAAATCTCGCTGGATTGTGCCTTATCTGGTTACTAAAGTCTATTATCATGGGGCAATTGAAATAACTAATAAAGCTCAAGGCAACACATTCAAGATGAATGGTCACATGCTGAAACCATATGTGGAGTCATCCTTCAATACTACAGACGAGTCTTTGACTCTGAAGAAACCAGTGATCTAGCCACCAACCTTCGACAATATCTAGCTACAAACTTAAAATAAAATGCTTACAACCCAATTTTTCTAAACTATTTCCTTATTTTATTTTGCGTTTAATTTTCCATTTTATTATTAGCTTAACTTACTAGATGCATTCTCATATCTTATTTTACATAAAACCACAAAAATAAAGAAAAAAAATGTTGTTTTCTTTATCTACTTAGTCGATTTTAGCTCTGTTTTTAATTTTCACAATTATTGGTTAATTGCAGGTTGCATAAATGGAAAATAAAGAGCATCCTATACTGGAATCATGCACCCAGCAACAAATCTACATTAACATCAACCACATCTACCCTATGCTAAAATTTAAAGTAATTAACATGAGCACATTCACATATGCAAGTTTGGGGGTGGTTTTTGTAGATCCAGTGCCATGCCACAATTTTGAACAGTTATTTTCTGTTGCTCAGTTTTGCGATGCATGGATGAGGAGCACAGTTAAATCACATATCCATACACCACACAACTGAGTACAACTTTTATTACCAGATCTACAACAATTACACTTGCAGGGATTCAAAAAATTTCCTCCCAGATGCACAGATTTGGGGTTTATGGAAGCTTTTGCCATGATTTGTTCGTTGCAAATGCAGTTTGGGATCTGTGATGACCAAACTCCTCTTCCTTTGGTTTGCTCATGTCAAGCTTCCAGATGCTGGTTCCTTGCACAACAAAAACAAAACAACCAAATTCATTAGTTATTCAGTAGACAAGACTATTTTTCAGCAGATCTATTACTCATGCATTGGAGTTGAATAGTAAGTCACTTTGTAAGTCTAGAATAGGTTCTTCATTAGTCATCTTCACGGTTCCAGTTCACTTTGTCCACATATATGTTCTCAGAAATGATTCAAGGATTAATTCATTTTGTTTTTCTGAGAGCAAGTATGTTTAGTCCGAAATCTTTACCAATTTGGAGATCCAAGTTGTTTTCAAATGTTTACATGTCCCAGTTCTTATAAAATCAGTTTAGGGTTGACATCACAGAATATATGAAATGTATTCAAAGCTATGTGTTAAGCCAAACAAATGCAGAAGACAGATTTCTTTCTACCTTCCTAATTGCAGAAACCGAGACTTTGGAGTTTATTTTGCCTTTGAGGAATTACTGGTTTGGCAGCTTAAGGCGTTCACTTCTCTTGGAACTATTATGGATCCGAATGTCTTGCACATAAGAAGAAAAAAAAATGGAAAACTGAGTTATGAGCGAATCGAGGATAAATATAGCTATGCTTTGCAGATCAGTCTACATGCTTGAAATCACAAGGGTTTTATACCTTCTGTTTGTCCAAATCTGTGGCCTCCTAGAAGACATCCTTTCTTTTGTTCCGTGCAAACACATGCATGGGTTAGAACAATTAAACTTGAAACGAAAGTCACAGGATTTGAGGATGTTTCTGGGTGAGGTGTGTATGTTTCTGGGTTAATGGCTACAGAAAAGGACGAAGAGCTAAGAGATAGAGAGTGGGGCTGTTGTGAAATGAATGGGTTGTAAGAATGGGCGTTGGGTTTGAGTTAGAGAAATGAGGGCTACTTTTCATATTTTAGAGAGCGAGTGATTGAAGGCATAGGAACATGTGATGTTATATTGGGAATCCTAAGGGTCTCTATGAGGGTCGTTTGAAAATAAAAACAGAAGAGCCATTTGACAATGGATACGAGGAAATGAAAAAAACCGTTGGCTATGGGCTCGAGCTAGCTAGGGTGTAACATCCCACATCGGCCAACAGAGAGGGGATGATGTGCCTTATATATACATGTCAACCTCCATATAACACGAGGCCCTTTGGGAAATCACTGATTTCAGAGTCTATCGAAACTCTGAAGTTAAGTGAGTTGCATGAGAGCAATCCTAGGATGGGTGACCTATTGGGAAGTTCTCGTGTGAGTTCCTAGAAACAAAATTGTGAGGGCGTGGTCAAGACCCAAAGCGGACAATATCGTGCTACGACAGAGTCTAGCCCGGGATATGGTGGAGCCCGAGTCGGGATGTGACAATTTGGTATCAGATTTACTCTACCATTCGGTGCGAGTGTGCCGACGAGGATGTCGGGCCCCTAAAAGGGGTGGATAGTAATATCTCACATTGACCAACGGAGAGAGGGGTGATGTGCCTTATATGTACATGCCCACCTCCATATAGCATGAGGCTTTTTGGGAACTCGCTGGCTTCGGGTTCTATTGGAACTCCAAAGTTAAGCGAGTTCATGCGAGAGCAATCCCAAGATGGGTGACCTACTGGGAAGTTCTCGTGTGAGTTCCCAGAAACAAAACCATGAGGGCATGGTCGGGGCCCAAAGCGGACAATATCGTGTTACGGTGGAGTCGAGCCCGGGATGTGGTGAAGCTCGGGTCGAGATGTGACATAAGGTTTCTAGCACCGGTGTGGCACGCGTGTGAGCTACCAATTGGGCTGCAATTTTTTTCTCGCAGCCCACTATCTAATTTTCACACATTTTATTATGTGCGACCTATCAGCAATTAGCCAAATCTTGCATCATTCAGCACGTGAGAGGCTCAACATTGTTTGGACTCATCTTCATGAGTTCGAAACCCCAATTGGAAGCTCACACGCGTGCCACACGGGTGCTAGAAACCCTAGTTGTCATTAATCTCACATTGGATGCTTTGCATCCATTTGCCTCGAGCCCAAAGCCAACGGCTCTCTTCATCTCCTCGCACCCAGAACCAAACGGCTCTTCCGTTCTTATTTTCAAACAACCTTCACATAGACTCTTAGGATTCCTAATATAGCATCATATGTCCATATACCATCAATCAATCGCTCTCTAGAATATGACAAGTAACCCTTATTTCTATAACTCAAACCCAACCCCCATTCTTATAACCCATTCATTTCACAGCAACCCCACTCTCTCTCTTAGCTCTTCATCATTTTCTGCAATCACTAACCCAAAAACAAACACACCTTCATGCCTTGATAACCCATCCATGGTGGAGCTTGATGAAAATCGGAGGTGCTAAAGGTAAAACATCCTCAAATCTTATGACTTTCGTTTCAGGTTTATTTGTTTAAGTGAAATGTAGCAAGTTCGAACCCATGCATGTGTTTGTATCTGTATGTGGACCCCCCAAACTTTGCAAATCTAAGAAAAACAACACAAACAACCACCCTAAGTCGCCGCACATCTAGATGACAAACATGAATGCATGCGTATTGATGCGTTAGATGGTTCAGCCTGTGACAAGTGTAAAAACAGATCATCAAATGACCATCTATCCCTAAAGTCTTTAAATGTAAGTCATGATGACAAAACTATTAAGGGTCAGCAACACAAAATCCAAGTGCTTGATGTGCAAAAATAAAAAACAGAATCGACATTGTTTGACAACTATCCAAGCCACCAGAATGACCAAAAACATCTGAATGTCAAAGGCAAGAATAAAAAGTTACAAAGCAGTCCAAGTCGTGAGAAAATACAGCTTGGTAAAAAAGTGTGTTTGTTAAGTTCATATAAGTCATTTCCAGGGAAATAAGAGTCTTAGTGGAAATGCCCTTTCTTAGTTACTAAAGTTTTTCAAAATGGTAACATGGATATCAAGGCTAAGGGCAAAGGTTTCGCATTTAAGGTTAACAAACATCAACTTAAACCATTCATAGGGAAAATTGGTGCAAGCGAGTCTTTGACTCTGAAGGAACCATTGAGCTAGCCACCGGACCTCTCCGACGTCTAACTACAGATTTAAAGCAAAGCGCTTATTTGGAGGCAACCCAATTTTTCTAAACTCTTTACTTTTTTATTTTTCGTTTGATTTTCCATTTTATTATTGGTTTGACTTTCTAGATGCACTCACATAGCTGAGTTTTCATATCATCACAAAAACAAAATTAAAAAAAAAAATCTGCATAAATAAAAAAAATAGTACCCAAAAAATAAGAAAAAAAAAATCCTAAAATCTATTGCTTTTTGTTTTTATGTACCTAATTGATTTTATTTTTTATTATCGCATATTGGTTAATTGCAGGTTGCAACCAGGAAAAACAAGGGCGGATTATCCTATACTGGATCATGCACCAAGCAACAAGTCTACATTAATATCAATCACATCTACACCAAGGTTTTAAAAGGCGCTAGACGCTAGTTGAGTAGCATGTTGGGGCCTAGCGCCTAAGTGGCTAGGCATGATCTAGGTGGACTAGAAGGATTTGAGTAAATCCATTATATTTCGTGTAAATTAGTGTATATGCATACTTAATATATATAATTTCATCATAAATTACAAAATAAAATGACATATGTATTATGAGGTATTGGAACATAATGAAAAAATCGGAAACAAGCATATAATGTGTGCTCATTTAAGTATTCAACAAATTTCTTACAATTTGTTGAAAAAAATTAAATGCAAATTAAAAGTTATTATTTTCTATCTAAGTGAGTCGTAACCTAGGTGGGTCTGAGTGGGCTAAACGGGTGCCTAGATGATTTAGGCAGGCGACTCAACTGGTTTAGGCGTCATTTCTTAATTTTCAAATGTCCAGACATTAATCGGGATGGTATACAAGTTTGGAGGTGGTTGTTGCGAATCCAATACCGTGGCATAATTTTGAGTTCTTTTCTGCAGCTCAGTTTTGCGATGCATGGATGAGAAAAGCACAATTAAATCACATATCCATACACCACATTACTGAGTACAGCTATTACTACCAGAACTACAACTAAACTTCCTAGGATTCGAAATTTTACCTCCCAGATGCACAGATCTGGGGTTCGTGGAAGCTTCTGCCAGGATCTGTGATATCCAAGACAACCTTTCCTTCGTTCTGTGCAGGCCACCAATAATTTTTTTTCCCTACAAAACCAACTTTCAGTTTCAAATTTAGTTTAAATCCGAAATGGGTGTCGTACGAAAGGAAAGGATCCAACGCATGCATTGTAAAATAGTGCTGATCGTGTTCTACATTCGAAGATTAAACGAAAGGGGGATCTATTTTTATGTACCTGAGGTGTAGATCCGCTGAGATTGCAAGCTTGGGGGCGCTGGAACAGCTCTGTGCTCTCGGAGTTGGCGACTCAGGGGGGTTTATCTTGTTGTTTATCTCGGATTTGCAACGATTGGGGTTCCTCACACAGATAAACACACATGCATGTGTTAAATCTTGCTACATTTCATTCCGATACATAAATCTGCAATGAGAAAAAAAAACACACAAATGGAGGAGGGATTTAGCTTCATGCATCTCAGCTTTTCATGCTTACTCCACCACGGCTGGATTATAGAGAAACGGAGGTGTGTATGTTTGTTGGGTCATTGGTTGCAGAGTGGATGAAGAGTTTAGAGAGATGAAGGTTTGCAATAATGGGCGTTGAGAGAAGAAGGTTTGCAATAATGGAGAGCCATTTCTAATTTTCAAGGAGAGAGAAGGCTGAGAGTAATGAGAGATCTCTCTCAATTACTAGCGAGAGAACGGCGTGTCAAAACATAATAAAAAATTGAGAGAAAATAGCCGTTGGCTGTGACCTCAAAGCGAATGTATAAAGGGCATCCGATGTTGAATTAAGGCAGCTAGGGTTTCTGGTGTTCGTGTGTCGTGCGTCATTCGTGTGAGCAGCAAAATGGGCTGCTTTGCGTCTATTTTCGTGGGCCATTCTTCATGTCGTTATTTGGTTTTCCACGGCAATGCATGGCTCCCCAAGACTTTGGATCCGTTCATGTCGTTACTTGAGTTCCATGCCTATGTATTTTTATTTAATTGTTTACGATTGATTGCATACATGCTTTGAATTAATGATCACTGTTTTAAACTATCTAATTGTTTTAATGTCTGATCACCATTATGATCTTTAAAAAAGTAATTTGATGCAATTTTGGTCTGAAGGTTCCCTGAAATTGACGCTGGCTTCTTGTGATTAATAATTGTAATTTCACTTAAAATGAACATCACGTCTTAAGGGTTGCATGGTTTTTCAAAGGGTTTTCATAAAACATAATGAGTCTCTCGTGTTCATATTTGATCCGAACGTCCGATGCTAGATATACCTAACCTTCAAAGTGGCATGTGTAGATCATAAGTAATTGGTAAAAATTCATATGATTGCTAGGTGATGGTGGAACCCTAGTGCTTTTATAAATTGGTATTTAAAACTCTTTTATTTTATCGTATTCGTTTGGGGGAAATTTATTATTAGTTGTTAATTAAAATTTCAAAAGTCAAATCTCTTTTCTCAGTTTTTAATTCTAAGTAGATAATTAGGAATTGTTTTTACATAAATTATTAAAATAGTTATTGAGGAGAACGACCTTGCATGAGCATTTGTACTACAATAACCTTGTATTCTTGCAAGTATTTTGTGTGATTTTAACCTTCTTTTCATAGACGGTAAAAATCCTATCAGGAGGCTCCCAACAGACTGTTTTGTGGGTGTTGTCAGATTAGGCCATCTTCAACTGATCCGGCCAGAGGACCATAGGGTTGAAAATAACATGAAATGACACGAAACCGTTTCAAACCGAAGGCTAGGCTAAAGGGTTTGTGGGCCTCATCGTGTCAAAACTAGCCAATCAGGTCAGCGGGCTAGCCATTTCCAACCAGCCAGCTAGCACGATGAGCAAGCACACTTTTTTTTTTTTTTATGGACATTTTTTTTGCCCAACCCGTTTGTGGGCCTTACTAAATGTCTTCATTTGTATGTTTTGTTATCTCAAATATCAAGGATAAATAAGAACCAGAAGGCAATAATTGAGGAGAGATGCAAGATCCAACATGCCAAGTATATTTAAATCATATCAGCAGTAACAGAACCACAGGGTGAATTGATAAACAATGGCTAAATAGCCAAAATGGTCCCTGAAATTTGCATAACTCATCACTTTGGTCCCTAACATTTCAAATCAATAAAAGTGGTCCCTGATATTATCCACCATCCATCATTTTGGTCATTCCGTTAAAAATTCCGTTAAGTGTCCCGGAGCTCTTGGTCGGAAGTTTGGGCAATTTTCAAAGCTTCATAACTTAATCGTTTCTTAACCAAATTCGACCCATAATATATCAAAATGAAGATAGGAAAGTGTAGAATAAGATTATACCTATTTGGAAGCCCAATGGCTGCCGGAGATAGCCAGAAAATAGCCTCAAAGTTGACTGGTTCGAGGGAAAACTGGAAAACTAGCCGGAAACTGGGTAAACTTTAAACATTCATAACTTCTTCAATACTCAACGAAATCAAGTGATTCAAAAATGAAAATCATATTTCTCGATGAGACGAAGAGAATGGTACCTTTGTAGACGGCTAAATCACCATGGTTTGGCCAAAAAACGGCTCGAAAGCGGCTAACTTGAGACCAAGACATCCTTCATCTCATCGAGAAGTATGCAAATCTCAGTGACCATTTTAGCTATTTAGCCATAAACAGTTTAATGTCCTTTTTAGGGTCCTCAGCATCTAGAAATAAAAGTTGGCTAATGATCAAATCCACCGTCATGTCAACGACCTGCCCACCGGTAGAAATATGAAGAGAAAATTAGATAAAGCAACCCTTCCTATTCACAAGTTTAGTCCTTTTGTAAATAAGAAACACAAACACACACAGTAATCCCATCAAATTTTGAACTAAACTTTCAACAAACAGTAACGAGTCCAAATTTCACAAGTAGCAGCAAAACCCATGTCAAAAATATTCAATGCTGAAGCAAGAAAACCCAAATTATGAGAGAAAGAGAACCTGAGAACCCAGAAAGATGATTCTTTGACGGAGAAACATATTGGTGGTATCGAGCTCTTCGAATCTAGGCAACCTTGGAGCTAAAGTAGTAGCTGAGGGAAAATCCCAGTTGCTCGACAAGGTTAGTCGTGGGGGAGACGAGCTTTTCATGGCCTTAATCAAACAAACGCCATTGTTTCTCCGACGGCAATTGATAATACCATTGCTATTGAGGGCAGTGCCCTTCACAATAGGTGAAATGGGCACTTGGGTTTGTGAAGAGCACATCGGCCTTGAAGCTGTGGCTACGTACGTCATCATCTATCTCCTCTCTCAATCTCTGTGAGTGTGTTTTCTCTATTCTTCGTCTCTGACCCTTTTTTTCTAAATTCAGTTTTTTAAACTCTTTGAAATATTATTCATTGTTTAACTACCACAACATCATGATTTTCAACGGATTTTCGAGAAATTAGTATGAAACAATACTCTGGGTACCCTCAAATCTGACGAGTTCAAACTCGTCCCTCGATAACTGAAATCCATCGCTAGTCGCCGGAGATAGCTTGAAATCCATCACTAATCGTTAAAAGATTGAGACGATGATCATTGAGATATTATGAATCTCTTTTAAAAAAAACGAAGATGAGCTTTGAGTAAGGTTCGTTCCTAGTTGATCGAACCTGGTCTCAATGCCAAGGAGAGCCTTGAGAGAAATGGTGAGAACAAGCATGCCACTATCAAAGGCTTTTAACCGAATGTTTTTATGAGATTGCACTGCTACAAAACCATTTATTAGTGGCGCTATGATAACTGACAAGAAATATGTATTATTGTCGGATATTAAGCAAAATCCGACAGAAATGATGCAGTGGCAGATATTATAGCGACAGATTTGCCAGCGTCAGGAAATGAATTTTTCGACATAAAATACTCTAAAACCGACAAAAAATGTGTCGGATATAACAGACAGTAAATATAAAACTGATAGAAAATATAAAACCGACAGAAATTGTGTCGGATATAACCGACAGAAAATATATAAAACCGACAGGGAATATATTAATAATATAACTAAGTGAATTTCTGTCGGATAAAATCGACAGAAAATATATTAATAAAAATAATAAAAATGACATAAGAGCATTCTCCCTTCTCCTTCTCGTTGAGCATTCTGTGAAAGGCAGTGATCCTTCACATCCTCGAGGACTTATATTCGCAAATAGTACTGTGAAAGGCAAGATCTTAAACTGCACAATACTCTTTGCCAACCTCGAAAAACAAAGGACAAACATCTCATTGGAATCCCTAGTCTAACATTGATCTGTCTCACTAATACAAGGTCAAGAAGAAGGGAAAATGCATACATCAACTGAACATTGTGTTTGATAGCAGAAGATGGAACCTGACAGGACTGGGACCATGGCAATAGACGCTACAATCCAAATAAGAGGACGAGCTATACTTTCCTTTTGATTTCCCATCTGCAGCTCATAAAATTGTTTCTTGATACTTTCAAAGATTGGTTTTCTTATAAGACTGTCATCTGGTAATTGTGGTAAATCAAGAGATTCCTCTCGTATTCTCAACGAAATTGCAAGTTGTGTTCGCGTCAGGAATTTTCGTCGGGGATGTTTCCTGGCCGACGAGCACACAGTTCCCCGGGAGGTTGGCGCCGGTTGAGGGCTGCTGTCGGGCTTCTGCTTCCCTGTCAGGCTTTGTCGGGCAAGTCTCGTCGGGCAAGACTCTTCGGGCAAGGCTCGTCGGGCAAGGCTGAAAGAGAAGGACAGAGTTAACTTTGAGAGGTGCCTTTGTGGGGCCTTAGGTGTAGGCCTTGAGGCTCACAATCAAGGTTAACTTTTAAGTATTCAGGCGTGCCACTGCCATCTTTAGTATGGCAGATGTGAAATGGATGTCGAGTTTTGGTTGTATATGTATATACCCGAGAAACCGTGTTAGTTATAACAGGTGCCTTTGTGGGGCCTTAGGTGTAGGCCTTGAGGCTTCCTATCAATAACTAAACCAGTGCTCAAACACATCATATTTGTTCTTGTGCATGCATGAGTCTTATAACTATTATACTTCTGATTACCCGAGTTCGAGAAGTAGAATGAACCCAAATAGGTGCCTTTGTAGGGCCTTAGGTGTAGGCCTTGAGGCTTCATATTAGAGTTCGTTCTTATACTCAAACGTTCTAGACCGCAGAACGGAATGAATCCAAATAGGTGCCTTTGTGGGGCCTTAGGTGTAGGCCTTGAGGCTTCCTATTAGAATCCTTCACATGCTTAAGCGTTCTATGATAATCATAATGTAATTGAAATAAGACTAAGAGGTAGGTCGATTACTTGCGCCCCAAGTAACTTCGGACTTCTCGTTTATCAAGGATTGTCGTGGATGGGTTAAGTCCACATAAGGTTCTTTTTTATGCCTTGAGGCTAAGGACTTTTAACTAATCAGATTTACATGCCCGAGGGCTTAGGACTTGGATCTGGTTTGAACACTGAAGATATATTCAAATCGGATCCCAGTACTGAGAAAGCCTTTTAATAGTCATCTTGCTAGAAATAACTTGAATATAACTGGAAGTAAACAACATATTGCTAGGCTAATGAATGAAAAGACAAAAACAAAGAAGGTCGGGCAAGGTTTAACCTTGTCGGACAAGTCTGGTCGTCTTGCAGGTTCCTATCTTTGTGGTTTATCAAGGGTATGAAAGCTTCAGGGAGAGGGAGAGATTTACAAAAGATGAATCGATACTACAGCAAGGTTGAACAAGGTAGCAGAGCTATTACAAGGGTTTGAGTGAAGGTTTAT